ATCTAATTTAGTTCACGAGAAAAATCAAAAATAAAACGGCTCCTAAATTTTTGTTCGCCACTGGATGTCTTAGTCGACAAAAAAAAAATCGGCTTAAAATCTTGCTTATCAACTGTTCAGTCTCATTGTTATTATTTTGTGTTGTCTTTCATATCTCTCGAACGAATACGAATCACATAATATTATATATATATATTGTACATTTAAATAATCATAAAATATCTAAATTATTTTTCTTTTATTTAGAATATTTTCTTATTCAACTATGTTTAAAATAAAACAATGAATAATAGTTATTTTATAAATATTAATCAATCAGTTATTAATAATTCAAACTGTATTAGTGATTATATTTTATTAGAATTTAAACGTATTGTTGAAGGTTGGATATTATCATTTATTTGTATATTTGGTATTGGTGGTAATATGTTAACTTGTATTATATTATCTAATTCACGTATGCGTGAATCATCAACAAATATTTATTTATTAGCATTATCATTTATAAATATACTTGTTTTAATTGGATTTTTATTATCACACGGTTTAAGATCAATATTATATGATTATAGTTTATATTGTACAAATACAAATTCTTATCCACTTTCAACAATATATGAATTATTTTATACAAAAATATTTCTTTATATATTTCCAATTCATATTACATGTATATTAATGTCAATATATTTAACAGCATCCGTTACTATTGATAGATTTATACTTATATGTTTACCATGTACTATTCAAAAATATCGTACAAAATCAAATTCAATTAAAATTATTTTATGTGTATTTATATTTTGTATTATATATTGTTTACCATTTTGGTTTGAATTTACAAATGAATATGAAAAAGTAATTATAAATTCTACAATTATTTTTATAAAGACTCGTAAATTATTAGTTATGTCTACATTTGGTAAACATCCTTTATATCGATTATTAATGAGAAAATATTTATATTTTATATTTGTTTTTTTATTACCATTATCTATATTAATATTTTGTAAAGCATGTATAATAAGAAGACTTATATCAGCACGT